TGTATATCCAACTGTTTAAAGAAGTGAAAAACATGTTATTGATTAGGTGCATAATTGCATAATATAACTGTATGTATGTATGTGTGTGTGTGTGTGTGTGTGTATATGTGTATATATATATATGTATGTTTTGTGTACTTTTATGTGTTTGTGGGTATGCATAAATCTACTAGCCTATGCAATTATTTTATTTAACCAGGAGGCATCAGTACCTGAAGGCACTTGTTTTTCCAGCTCTTGAGTACCTTGATTTTCATCATCAGCTTCATCTTCTGGAAGGTCCTCCATAAAACTACAGAGTTCAGTTTCATCCAGGATCTCACTGGTTTCCAGATCATCCAAGTCAGAGCATCTTTCTACATCAGCATCTGGATCCATCTCCTCTGAAGGTACGGACTCGATCAGGATCTGAACCCTCCCTGCCAAGGAATCGGTCTTATGTTTGTTTTCTTCGGTCATGACAAACTCATCAGTGGGAGTTTCGGGCTCAAAAAGGATCCCTGTCGGTTCTTTGATTGGGATCTCTATTTTGACCGAAGGTACCCGAACAGGTAATTTAGACCTCTTGCTGGAACGCTGCACTTTCCTTTCTTCTTCCATGGAAGACTGTTTCCCATTCCCATCACTTAGATTATTTCGACTTCCCATTGATCCTTTGCTTCTACCATACGTGGATCTGGGGATATATGAGCCCGACCCTTTCCTTGGTGGGGTGGCATAAACAGGCTCATCTTCACTGGAAGACAAGGTCACTGATTTGTTGTAGAGGATTCTGGTTTTAGGGTGCACGTTGGAACTAAGCTTGTCATCACTCGTCTGGCCTTGATGGGACTGGACTGAGAGGGGCTGGTTCAATCTGGATGGCCTCCCATTGACCTCTGTGGGGTTGGCCTTCTCCACTAATTTTTCTACTGTATCGGTAGCCAAGAGAGACTCGCCTCCTTTCTCCCAAAAGTTTTTCAAGTTCTTGAAGTGTGCACGGTCTACACCAATTTCCTCCTCTTTGTTATTCATTGATGAGATGATAATGTAATTGGCATCTGGTTTCCGTGGAGGACCGTTTTCCTCTCCTAGAGGTGGGAATTTGAAAATCTTCAAGGGTTCTGTCTTTTCTAAACCAGACCCAGATGTCTTAGCTCCATCCTTGATGCTGATATTGGGAGAGAATAATGGTTTGCTCAATCTTCTGTTAACTGGTATTCTGCTAGGTGTGTTGAATTCTTTCTGCAGGGCTGGCTGAAATCCTCTGCTTTCTGTAACAGTATCAGGCACATCCTCTGCAACTTTAGAAACAGAATCCCCCACTGAGTAAGAGAACTCATCAAAAAGCTTGGTGGAGCTCACTGGTGACATTTCATAGCCTATCGGGAAAAGACAGAGAGAGAAAATGAACCAGAGCCTTACTGAAGGACCTGAGTTTACACACCAGTTATCTCCAGTCTGGGTCCTCCACATGCATTGGATTTTCCACCACTTCCCAGAATCACTGGGAATTCTAGAAGCTGAAGGCCAACATATCTGGACAACATCATTTTGGAGAAAGCTACTATATGTTTTGCGGTGGTAAGTGTTCAGCAAACATGGTACCCAACCATCTAAAACAGACCGCCACTTATATCATCAAATGATGGATAGTATCAAGGCTGGACCACCATTTGGTACCCTCAGGGGGTTATCAGGATACTGGTTCTGGCAAGAATAACCCACATTGGGTTATTCTTAAATTTCCAACAGTGCCTCCACATAACAATGGTTCAGGCTATTAATGTAAAGGACAGAACTAGCTGCCCAGTCTTGCTCTTATCCGCCACCACATCCAGGTAAGTCCACAAGGTTGTAACAACAGAGGAGACATCTCAGATTTAATATCTGACTGTAAACCACAGCACTCAGGTTGGATTCCTATTGTAGTTTGCAGTCAGATAGCAAATCACAGTTTCCCAGTTCAAGTGGGACAGGAAATCATGGTTTAACAAAGCCAAGGAGAGTGTTCTATTAAAACAGAGAGAAGAGGAACCATGCAAGTACAAGATTTATTAGTGAGCTAATCTCTGAACTAGGTGTTGGTTTCTCTTATCGGCTAAATACTTGTTCAGTTTGAAATGTGCTGAAAATGTGCAGATCCAATAAATCTGAAATAGAATAGAAATAAGACAGAAGGAAACAATATATGGTAGGTCTCAATTTCAAATCACCATCATTGTTCTTAAAATATTTAGCTGATCGGAAACACAAAGTTTATCTTGTTCATTCTGCAGGAGCAACAGTGGGCAACAAATCCATGGACCACATATTGTCCCTTAGACCCAATTTTTGGTGTCAGCCCCCCCCCCACTCCCATCTCCAGCTAAGATCAATGCTGCTGAAATTTGGGGGCAAATTGCTAAAAATTGGCAGTGCAATTTCATTTTCAGTTGAAAAACAGAAGAAATAAGGGGATGTAGCGTTTTAGGACATGCCTAAAGTAACAAGAAAACCCTGAACACAGACTTGCAAGAAACAAAAACATTGTCCTTGTTTACTTGGGCAATAATACTTGTACCCTGTTCTTCTGAGGTCTCCAACCATTGAAAAGAATACTTTAAAAAAGGGGGCTTGCCCTGAAAAAAAGTTACCCACAACTTCTCTCCCTGTGGGAACATGCTACGAAGTACTCTGTGAAAGACCCTGTTCCTTGAGATGAAGCTTTCAGAACATGACTGTGTAAGCAATGTTTATTTTCCTTACCAACTTCTGAGTTTTCTCTTGTAGCCAAGAATGGACTGACCACAACACCACTGTCTGCTGGAGATACATCTTCTACACTGGATTTCTGAAGGAAACAAAAAAAGATTGGAATCCTGTGACCAAAACAAAAGGACTACTGGTTTGTTAAGGTTCTATGGGGTCACCAAGGACTACACTATTAAACTTCTGTGGGTACGGATGGCAAAATGGAGAGCTTTCTTTAGATGTTCCCTCTACATGGGAATTGAATGCGTGAAGGGAATACGTGCCCACCATCTCATCCCAGCCTCCATATAGCAGATTTAGCAGAAGGATGCAACCTTCCCCCGAAACATAGGTAGGCCCAAACTGCCAAAAATCCCAGTCATTGCAGGTTTCTTGATTGCAAAAAAAAAATCTGCATGTATCAAGTTGGTTATGTCTGTACCTTTGTCTCAGGCTTCCACTGAGTGAGGTGGGGTTCCCCCTTACCCAGTTCCCCCTCTATGAGATTCAGGTGGAGGAAATGTCTGAAAAGGCCTCAGTCTGTTGAGATCAAGTTCCATGCTCTCAGTTCTTTGGCTCTACTACCTTTTCTAAAGAGGAGGGCAGGGCAGACAATTTCACTCTTGGCTTTGACCTGAAGACGTGCCCTTCTGCTGAATCCGAACCAGGTTCATACAACCTGCAGAGACAGAACAATGTTTGATCAGAAGACCCAGAACCTGAGAGGTGAGAGAAAGGACGCTGCTTCAGGGCACAGGCTGGCTCATGCGGCTACTTCTTCTGGTTTGCTCTCACTTCCTTGCAGAGAAGAAATCTCCTAAAGTTCTGTGGAAGCTCCAGAGTCATATGGAACGTGGTAAGATTTAAATTGTTATAAATAAGCTGCCAAGAAATATAGATAGTTCTATCTCTGTCTCTCTTTCTCTTTAAATGTACTGTATGTATTTGTCGGATTAAACCAGGGTTTCTCAACCTTGGCAGCTTGAAGACGTGTGGGCTTCAACGTCCAGAATATGAATGTATTTGTCGGATTAAACCAGGGTTTCTCAACCTTGGCAGCTTGAAGACGTGTGGGCTTCAACGTCCAGAATATGAATGTATTTGTCGGATTAAACCA